CCCCGGCAAAAGCAGGACAATACATTATATTAGCCGTATCATTATTTCTCCGTACGAAAGCTAGCTCGAAGCTAGAAAAACCGAGACACGCTCGTAATGGGAGAAATCCCGGCCCGGTTCTCGCAGTGCTTTCCGCCTCCGTTCGAGAGAAATCACGGTTGAAACTTGCGTGCGTGCGTTCTTTCGAGGAACTGTGTCGAATCTTCGATCCCATCCACGATTTTCCTTTATCTCGTTCACGACCTTTCATCAATCAAATTCACGTGTATTAAAATTCGAACCGAATGTTCCCCAATTTCATTTTAGATTCCTCTTTTCGTAATAATCTAAAATAACGCGATATTAAAATATTCGAACGTGCACAATTTTTTCGACAAATCTAACCAGAATATTTCCATTACGTGGAATGGACGCAAGTTTGTTTTTCTCGAAAGTGTTATCGATTATTTTCCATCGTAGGATCGATTTTCGTCGGATCTAGTTTATTATATACGTCCGCTCTTCAGGTGGCGGAGGTGATCCTTCGTCCATTGCTCGGCGGAAATACATTTACCCACACGTAGGGCGGAAGGGGCGGAAGATTATGGCGAGTGTACGTGAGTGGGTGAGGGCATGGGTTGGATAGGCGTGCATGTGGATATCGTAGTAAGGTAAGTATCCGCGGGGTAAGTTTTTCCAGGCGATCTGCTCTCCGGATTCAGATCAATACCCGCCATCTGGGCCTCTGGTGGTGCGGGGATACGGAGGATAAGGAGGAAAAGGGGAGACGGAGAGAGGTTCGAGGGGGGAGAGGTGTGAGAGGGAAGACAGAGGAAGAGAAGAAGGTGGAGGAGTCGCTCGAGCAACAAGCCACCGCCGCACCCTCCTTCCTGCAATCCTGGAACACATCGAAAACCTCGGCCAGAAAGCAATTCCTGTACCTACATACGCCCACGTTTCACGCTGCCGTGGCTATCGTGAAACTATCGACGTCTCTGCGAGGAAGGAATGGAAATATTCGCGCGACCAAAGTCACCAGGCCGCTTTCGTTTTCATCCTTTCGGTTTCGAATTATTGCGACGAAAACTATATGGCAGAAAACTATATTTCAACGAAATCATCATTAGATCTCTCAGAAAGTATCTCGAAAATATTGCATGCGTCAATGATTATTTATAGTCGAAAGTATTTTTTCATGGAAAAGTTGTTATTTATTTATTTCAATAGTAGAAGTAGAAGTCGAAGAAAGATGGAAAAATATTTTACTGGATATCTCGAATTCTTTTTAACTATCTTTTAATTATTTGTATACACATAATTTCGAGTAATCATAATTTAAAAATACATGATTTCGTTTAGATTTACGCGTTAAAAATCTGTACCTTCTTGAAAATCGAAATCCCTCGAGAATTCTTCGAAAACGATCGAAGATTTAAACGCTAAACGTGAGAATCTCCTCTCCTCGGTTCCTAGCCGCGGAGGAGCCGCGGTTAATTTGCGTGCGTTTCCATCAACGGCCGTGGCCGCCGGAAATCGCGTTAGTGGATTTCACTCGCGCCAACCAATTCGATCCGCATTACGCTCGATTACATTATCAGCCCTCGCGGCGTGGATCGAGTGGAGTAGAGGGAAAACAGAGAGAGAGAGAGAAAGAGAGGAATCGAGGAAAGGATGAACTATCGGATGAAACAGGGAGCGAGATAAGGTCTTAAGTAGCGACTGATTAAATCTCGGGACATATGTGTGCCGATCAATGGTACCCCAGTGGTCTCCTTTCCATCTCCTATTCTCCATTCCCTATCTCCATCCATCTCCCTTCCTCCTCCTCCTCCTCCTCCTCCTCCAACCAGGTTTTCCGTTGCACGAAAAAGGGGATCCTTCCACTCAGGTTCAGTTCAGCGCGGTGCTGATACGCTGTAATACCGTCCCACGGGGGCCCGCTCCCCTTTACCCAGTGGATACTCTCGTGTTTCCTGGCCACGCCACCCCGTTCCATCGAAAGCTCGATCTATCGGCTCGGGCTACGTAAAAACACTTGAATTAATCGGCCCCCCCTCTCCTCTCCTCCTCCATTCCCGAAGGAACCTGCGAAAGGTCAATAGGATCGGGGTGCTTATCTTGATTCACGGGGGAGGGGAGGGATGATTGTTGCTCCTCTCGTCGGATAACTAATCGGTCCCATTGGCGATCGGGCATATGCTGTTCGCGCCCCCTTTCTTCTTCACGATAACATTTCTTCGATTGATCGAGTAAGGGGTGAAGGCGTATTACAGTGGAAGAGATTATATTTTTAGAGGTTAGACGATTAATAAAACGTTTGGATCGTATCTTTATGCTATTAGATGTAAAAAAAAGTATATTGGGAGAAATAATAATATATATAAAGATATACCGATTAAGGTATGAGGTTGAGGGTGATAATTTTGGAAATTATATATCTATATATCTCCCTTTCTTTTGTAAATTTTATTTAATACAAGTTAGTCAATTGTTAATTTTCAAAAATCAAAGTGAAAAATCGACTACAATTCTTATTATAATAGAATAAAATAAAATTCCATTTGCATTGAGTAACTTGTTGCTTGTTTTTATTTTATTTTTTTTTTTTTTAATGATTTCTTTTAGTCGTTTTAATAGGATTGATTTGACAACGATTGAATAATTGCCAACATATTTAATAATGTAGATATTTTTAAATATGAATATCCTTTTAAAAGAGCATTAGTCAAATAAAAGAGCAATTATAATTGCCATAATATTTTTTTATAAACAGCGTTGAATATTGGATTGAATAATTAAATTGTTCAAAATTTAACGAGATAACAATTGTACTTTTCGAAATTACACGAAATTTAAATTCTACAATAAGTTAAAAGACAATAATTATTAATTTACTCACCGGTTGATCGAGGAGACGGATGGCACGTTGTCCTGCGAGCAAATGCCTTCGGCGAGCAATCGGTCCCTGATCTCCCACGCAAACATAGTTGGATTGTCCCTCTTGTAATTAGCGATCGCTTCCACGACCGGTGGCGTCGCTACCTTCGGCTTCGAGCCGCCTATAACTCCAGCCTTGAAGCTGCCAGTTTCATAATACCTGTGAATAATAAAAAAAGAAACGGATAAATCAATATCACGATTTTCCATTTTTATTCCTCTCTCTGTTTTACTAAATTTCTCAAAATCCTTATAAGATAAATGAACTAATACATCGCTTCCAGATATAATATGCGAAATAATACAAGTTTGGTACTTTTTTCAAAGCAATTCCTACTTGGCCAAGACACATTTACGAATAAAAGCATCGTTTATCATCGAGCAATGTTACTTATAATAATCCCTTTTCGTATATCTCTCCAATATGAATTTCAATTAGTAAAAAGTTCTGTAATATTGTTGCGTTATTTTATCAATTAAAAGTATGTTTACACAACAACAATTTGAAAGCAATTTTACAACGATTACTTTTCAAAGTAATACTCAAATACTTTCTAAATTTTGCCTTAGAAGAATTTCAAACATCACGACACATCTCTCACATCCCCCAAGAGATTCACGACTTTAATTATTTATTATTATTATCTTCGAAACGATCGGCCCACTCTTTTCCCTCTTCTCCCTCCCCTCGCGCTCGAATGAAAAGGGACGAAGGATGCAGAGAAAGAGAGAGAGAAAGAGAGGGGGGAACGATCGTTTTTCCCGCGACGTGCGGCCAACGTCGGGATAACGAATCGCCGTCCAGCGGCGCGTCAACGACCGGCTGTTTTAAAACAAACGGCTTCTACCTCCACCCCCTCCTTTCCTCTCTTTCCCTCCCTCTCCATTCCTCCCTCCCTTCCTCTCTCTCTCTCTCTCTCTGCGCCTCTTCCTCCCCCTCTCCACCCCTCCTCGGCCCACCCGTC